GGATGGATGGATGGATGGATGGATGGATGGATGGATGGATGGATGGATGGATGGATGGATGGATGGATGGATGGATGGGTTGATTGAGCACATGGATATTTAAACAGTTTGTGTGGGGCGTTCACTTTAAATCACAAGACGTTAACTTGTTTTCAGCTTTAAAATCTACAAATGTCAGAGTGAACTCAACACAAATGTGCAGAGACAATCTACCAACACATACCTAAGTACCAGTTCCCAATGACCCTAAATGGAAACGTGGGTTAAAAAACCACAGTCAAATGGACAGATATATAAAGTGGAGGTGGATTAAATTAATTTCAATTCAAAAATACTTTACTGATCCGAGGGAAATGAGATGATGTTGTAACTCATTTAACTAAAGACTTATTGTAGCTGGTCATGGCTGTGGGCAGGAAAAATCTTCTGTTGCCGTCTGTATTACAATGGAACTGAAGAAGCCTTCGACTGAAGACGCTCTATTGTTCTATGACAGTCTGATGAAGAGAATGGTCAGGGTTGTCCACAATGTTCTTGATTTTATGTGAAATCATTTCAAGAGGTTCCACAGTCGTCCCCAGAACAGAACCAGTCGTCTTTATCAGGTTGTTTAGCCTTTTTAGATCCCTGGCTCTGATGCTGCTGCCCCAACAGATGACAGCAGAAGAGATGACTCTCAACAACAGACTTGTAGAAGATCTGCAGCATCTTGCTGCAGACATTGAAGGATCTCAGCTTCCTTAAGAAGTACAGTCTGCTCTGTCCTTTCTTGTACTGTAGATTGCTTCACTGTTGAGTCTCCAGTCCAGTCTGTTATCCAGATGAACACTGAGGTATTTATGTTCCTCAACCACCTCCACTTCTCCCATGATGGAAACAAGGTTTGATCTAACACTATTTCTCCTGAAATCTACAATCATCTCCTTTATTTTGTTCACATTCAAGATGAGATGATTTTTCCACACCATGCCACAAAGCGGTCCACCAGCTCTCTGTACTCAGCTTCCTGTCCATCTCTGATACACCCAACAACTGCAGAGTCATCTGAGTATTTCTGTAGATGACAGCAGTCTGACTTGTGCTGGAAGTCTGAAGTGTACTGTGTGAACAGGAATGGTGAGAGTACAGTCCCCTGTGGTGCTCCTGTGCTGCTGACCACCTGGTTAGACACACAGTCCTTCAGTCTCATAAACTGTGGTCTGTTTGTCAGGTAGTCTTTGATCCAAGTGAYTGTTGAGGCCTCCACCGGAGTCTTCTGGGGTTTCAGACAAAGCAACTCAGGTTGCTGAGTCTTCTGGGGTTTCAGACAAAGCAACTCAGGTTTAATTGTGTTAAAAGGACATTCAGTGTGAGGCATTTTGGTGTTTCCACCCCCTACCTCCATGATTGGTGGCAGCGCTGATCACCCACACCTGCATGCGATTTGGCTCATTACCTCCAGGCTTCTTAAGGCAGTGCTGAAGATCAACTCATCGCTGAAGTATCGCCTCATGTTTGGTATGAGCTCAGCCTGCTGCTTGTTACTCTTTCCAAGAGTTTTTGTATTACCTGTGTTTTTTTTTTGTTTTTTTTTTTGTATTTACCTGTTTGCAGAAAACAGTATCCAGCACGTTTTTGCCTGCCGCCTTGGACT